TNCNTTTTTTTNATCCATGTGGTAANTTGATGATGTGCTGTTTTGCTTCTTGAATCACTTAAAATCCATGGTGTAATCCGGCGGTGAATGAGCAAGCGATCATGATCACTGTTCAAATTTGACAAAACAAATTGTATGCGTTGGAAGATTTATTGTAAAAGGTAATAATACTACACATTCTTTTGAGTTCTTGCATTATTAGTAATCAATGATGTACATAAAGGGTTCGGTTAATACTATATGGCATAACAATATATATGGGCAGTGATGTGTAACAATGTTTAAGTTATTGAAAATTTTCCTTTTTGCAAGATTCGAGTAGCAGCTAGCTGTGACGGCCGTTAGTTGCATAAAAGAGAATTCTGAGTCAATTGAGTTATTTATGTTTAATTAGAGAAACATATTTATGGATATATTCACTTTGATTATTTACTCTTTGCATGTCCAGATGCTTAAGCTTTCATCAAGATTTAAAAAAATCAATTCTGCGTTTGAGATCGAATGTTCTCTTTTTGACACCTGTTGTGAGAAGACTCACATAGCGTGTTCCCTACGGTTTGTGTCAGTGAAGGGGCATTTTGTAAGAATAACACATTTCTTTGATTATCATGCTTTTCAAAATTTTCAGTATTGCTTGCTTTCCCTATACTAATTTCATTTTTATTCTCATCGGTTACCTTCTGTATCTTTATTATCTATTCAAAATAGAATGGTTTAGAAACCTCAATCTAAAAATGGCTCTATAAAAGAGTGTCTCTCATATCACATAATAACAAACACACTTCTTCTTTCAGGTCCGTGATATATTTCCAAAATCGGTAGCCGCAACACCATACCTACTTTTTTATGTATTCGATTTGATTGCTCACAGAAGAGTATATGATAGCGTAATGTGCATCTTTATAAATTTTCTTACATGTTTCAAGTAAGTTACTTCAAAGTCCAATTGACAATGATTAGTAAAAATTAATGTTTGTTTCTTCTTTGTTCATGTGAGTTTCTTGGCATGACTCAAAGGACCGATTGACAATTATTTTTATTTGTTTTAAAGAAATTTAAATCCCTAACTTCTTCTTCTTCAAATTGTATGGCTCTTCATCTACAGTTTGATATTGACATGTTATTTCAAAGGATACAAAACATTCATAAATGAGTTGATTTCTTACGGCCCAAAAAACTTCATGTTGTTGATTTCCTTTCTTTATTTTTTTATTCTAATTCAAGATGCTATGTTTTTCTGTTGGTTCAGACTTTGAAGACGGAAGATCTTTGTCCATTAAGACTCAAAGATTCCCAACTTTCCTCTCTTTATTTCTTCATGTATCTGAATCGATTCATATGATTCCCCCAAAGTGATTTTTTACATTGGACCATAACAAGACCATGATTCATATGATTCCCCCAAAGTGATTGTTTACATTGGACCATAACAAGACCATGAAACAGACTCAGAGGACATTGTAGCTATTTTCATGTGTATGACTAAAACAAGCCAAGGTTGACAAAATATTTGGATTTGAAGAGACCCCCAAAGAGAAACCTGGTCGGGGATTCTTGAGAACGCGATTTCTGTCTTTATTGTTCTTCTTTAGATATGTGCACCGGAATCTATTACCCTACACATTTATTGAATGCTAATGATTTAGCATTAGTTATCATGTGACAGTTATAAGATTTGAACCATGTGATGAAGTGAAATTTCAATTATCTAAAGGTTTCGTGAGTTTTATTTTTTTAGTAACTTTTCCTAAATAAAAGCTTAAAATTTATGCATGTGTAATGTTGATATAAATTTGTTTCAGAGTGATGTGATTTTTTTTTCTAGATCGTATGAGCATAACTTTTTAAACCGACAAAAATTATTGACA